GAGAATGAACTTTTTTGTTGTAGAAATTACTTTTTTTTTTCTTTTTTTTCATATTTTTGCTTTTGGCAGCCTTCTGTTTACGTATATATGATGGTATTTTTCCAAACACCTTTTTTTTTTTTATATTAAACCAAAGAAATACTTTTTTAGCTTGCGTTTACAACCACGGTATAAGATAAGGCGTTTTTCTAATAAACTCCACTGTTCTTGCTGTAGATTAACATATATTGTATAATCAGTGTATTAGACACTGAAGAAGTCTGTAATAAAACTGAAAGTCTTCTATAATATAAAAGATTTTGCCATCTGCCACTTTAATATAGTACAAGTGGATTAGCCTCCTCTGTCATGAAAATTATATATTAAATCTAAAACAGCCAGACAAAATAAATTATGGTTTAAGAACTGATGGAAACTAGCACAGATAGAATTGAATTTGGGGAGTAGTTGATGGATGCCAGAAAATACGGTCTAAAGAGGTTTCTGGGAGGGCGGGATAAGGGCACATATCTTAATTAAATTATGTTGTAATAATTTTTGAATTTGGCTATATTAAAAAACCCAATGCCTGTATCTCTACGGAAGTGCATATACCCCTTTCTAGCTTATGTTAATCTGGTTTAGTGGAAATGAAGTATTGAAACAGATTGTTAATGCTTCTGGGTCCTGTTCTTTCCTTGCAAATGGGCTAAACATTGCAGCAATTCATTTATATTTACTGCCTTTTTCCTAAACCTTATCACTAGCTCTCAGATAGCTCAGGAAAAGAAAGCTTATCAAAACTTCTGTGCTGCACAGTGCTGAGAAAGCAGTCAACACTCTAAGACCCTGGCACCTTGTTGCATTTGTATCCTCATGGGTTTTCTGTCTGTCTTATCATTTTTAGTTTCTCTAACAGGCAATGGAAAAGAATTGATGATTCAGTGTGGGATACACTAGACTCACAAAAACTGGAATTGAGACATCTTGACTTCTTAGAAATTGCCATTAGACACAAAAATATGAGTGTTTAGAAAGGAGAAAAATACATCTTAAATGAATTTGTGTAGAGCTGATAAAAGATTGCAATAGGCACATCCTGAGCAATAAGCCTATTTATTATCCTATTTTTTCTTAGATATAAGCTGTTCTCAATACCTTTTGCAAATCTAAGCAGTGGCACTGTAAGTAATGATTATGGGCTATTTCAGTGAATGCACAGAGATAATTTAATTCCTATGAGTAGTGCCATTGACTAAAATGGGACTATTTCCATGTGTAAAGTTAACCATGGAGCATAAGTGTTGGCAAGACTGAATCCAGAATATACACTTTACCTCTTGCAAAAATGCTCTTTTGCAACAGAAATATGAAAGCTCTATGAAGACCTTCTGTAGTGTAAGATCAGTTAGGGTTTGTCTTGAAAAGTGGACATTAAATCTACATATAACTCGTCCCAAAAAAAGAAATATAAGTGAAGAACTAGTTGTAAAGTAAATCATTATCCTAGTCTTTCAAAAATCTGAGGCTTTCAAAGCACTTTGTGTATATGCTTTTAAAAAAGGTGCTATTAAGCATTGCCACATGGAGCAAGGAGGTTATGAATGGCTGGTCTAGGATCATACCATGAAATAACAAACATTTGCAATTCCTAATTCCTGCTCACCATGCTCTAACCATTAGCAACTGTCTGTCCTAATGCTCAGTACTGGCCTTAGCCTGCAGGTTGGTCGCTCCTCAGGCTATGGCCATCCTCAGAAGTTTTGTTGACTGGTTTTATCTTCTGTCTGGCAGAATGTGGAGGGTGTGACTATTTCTAGAAAATCTGAATATCTAGTAAAGGAAAAAAGAAGACTTATCAGTAGCTAGATTTTTGTCATAGTAAACAGTGAGGCTCTTCGGTCTTTGAAACAGGACATGGTGTTGCCATTTTCTGTGTCTGTTTACTGTTCTTTTCAAAATTAAGGTATTCTTGCACCTGTTCTGCAAACTGTCTTTTGTACTGCTCAGGGTGTTCTGAAACCCAAGCCACGTTTTCATTTCTCTGCAAGTACAATTGGTGCAACCTCTGATGTGGATGCAGTGATTTACTCTTTTCCATGGGCACAAATTAGACTCTTCCATATACATACCTTTATACTATTAGCTATAACTGATTCTTCCTTTGGAAGATGATACTGTGTAAGCAGGATAAGCATAACAGGGGGGTTAGATTCTGAAGTTTTATAAACCAGTGTTTACTCTAACGGCAAGAAGTTTTCAAGATTAGAAAAACACTTACCATTGTGCTGGAGGAAGTTTAGTTGCTGTGTTTCTGAATGAGAAATGAGTTGCTCAAAGACTGTACTAAGCATGCAATAAGGACAGTGCAGAAGGAGAATTAAATAAAGGGAATCCACCTTAATCAGATCATGCTTTCCTTATATGCCACTATAGTGCTCAGACAGAAATATTTTGGAGTAGATCTCACTCTACCCACAAGGAGAAGGCTACAGGGACTGTCTTTCACCCCCTGTATAAAGCAGATGGGAACAAAATCTGTGAAGAATTCCTCTGCCAGAAAAAGAAAAAGGAAAAGAAAAAAAAAAGGAAAGAAAAGGAGTCATATACCATTATCAATGCCATGTTATGCTAAGAATATTAGACTGATTCCTTCCCTGTAAAGGGATGCTTCAACCCTACTTCTTTGGAAGGTCCTCCATGTGTTTTCAGTAGTCAGGAAGGTAGGAGATGTTACTTGCTAAGGAGAAAGTTCAGGCTCCCAAACCTCAAGATATTACAAGTGGAAATTTCCAATATCCCCTGGAAGGTTTCTTCCTTTAAAATCTGTGTTTGGGGTAGTGTAGGGAGACACCAGATTGTAAAAGCACTTATAAAGCCTCTAAAACCTGGCCTGGATAGGTCTTCTTGTAGCTGTGTCATAAAACCTTTTCATTAATACAAGCTGCAGTTCCACGTAAGACTTTTGCCTGGGTTAAATGATGCCAGTGCCAGAACAAAATGCACTGCTGCAGTACACAGGTTTTTCTGTATTTAGTCCTGCAGATCACTGATGCAGAGAGCAGGCTGCTCCAAAGAGCTGTGGCTCGCTCTGTGCCGGAGCTTGTGCCTGCCCACCCCCTGCATGGAGCACAGGTCCAGTCTGCAAGTGTGCACCTGGAGGCAGCTCTTTTTAAAAATTTTGTTTTTTCACTCAAAAAGTACAGTCTTTGCAAGCAAAATATTCAGGAGTGGCCCACTCTGCGTGCCACTAGGTGGCACTTGAGGGACACGGCAGTCACTTGCTGGTCCTCGTTACACCTGGGCTGCCTCAGCAGGACTGGTGGGCATTTTGAGGGGAGAGAGGCTGTTACATGGAGCTGTTGGACTGCCCAGGCTGCTGAGCTCTGGACACCTGGTTGAGGTGGCACTTGCTGCCCTGGGACAGCAGCCAGCCCTGTGGCCCCAGCCAGAGCCTGCGGCTGCGAGAGCCCTGGAGCTGTTGCGGCTGTGAGGCTGCTGGCTGCATCTCCCCTCTCAGGATGGCCAGCAAGAAGTGCAGGCTGCACCCTATGCCCTGTGGATAACCCTACAGATGTAGCACGGTTAGAAAAGCAGGAGAGAAATCTCATCACCTGAGGCACGTTTTCCTCCTCTCCAGAGGAACTGCACTTGGGTTTAAAAGAAGATCCCAACTCAAACTTCTATGTACAGATTCAAAAGAAGATCCCAACTCAAACTTCTATATACAGATTCAACATCGTATAGTTGAAGAACAGCAGCAGCCTGACAGAACTCCTTGTGCCCTGCAGCTTTTTGCTGAGCTCTTATTGTTTTTGTTAGTAAAGAAGTGGAAGCATCATTCAAAAAGTCCCTGCCTTTTTTTAAACATACCAACTTTAGTACATTTTTTTTTTTTTTTTTTTTTTTTTAAAAAAAAGAACTTATGATTAAGCACTGTGAAACTTGTGACTGCTAAACTACTTGATGAGTAAACAACAAGAGATTAGACTCCTCAGTGCAAAGCAGGTTTTTAATATGGCTAAAATTCTGGTCCCTCTAAAGTTTCAGTTTTACTTTCCTTTTTTTTTTTTTTAGCCACAAAATTTGTTCATATAGAAATGAACCATTTTTGAGAAAAGATCATGATGGCAGGTTACCTATCTTCTGCCTCCCCTCTCCTTCCTTCCCCTCCTCCCCTGCTTGAGGAGCCACCTGATAGCTTCTCTACAGAAAATGGCTCTATTGAGTTTGCCATAGTATGCCTGGGACAAACAGATCCAAATCCTGGTGCCCTGCTTTAGCAGAAGGGCTGAACCATGTCCTAGTAATGCAAATTCCAAAGGTAGGGGAAGATTTGGAGGCAGGAAAAGAAAAGGATTTACACTCCATTTTCACTTTCCTCTTTGGCAGAGGTATTGGAGGCAGGGTGTCTTGTTTGCCTTAAGTGCAGACCCATGTTTTATGTCTTCACCTAGGTTCCTGTTTGAAACCTAGGAAGGAAGGAAGGAAGTCAATTATTAGGCTTCTTTTATGACTTGTATTTTTAGTAACTTTATTGCAGTTTTTGGTATATCTCATGCTTTCTCACTTCAGCCTTGCATACTTCAAAGACAGGGGCTTAGTCCAATGAATTTTCATCAGTTTCAGGAGATGATAAGGTGACAAGGTGCAACCGAGATCTTTTTGACTTTTATTCCTCACCCTGCCGAAGGCCTTAGTTTTTTCTCTGAGCACTTAGGCAAAAAGGGTGACTCTAGAAGATATCTTGGGCAGTAGGTCATTTATATTCATAGACGCGATTCCTAACATTTTACAGAAAAAAAAAAGCTTTTCTCTTGTTTTCCTATCACAATAAAAAAGAAAGAAAATACAAAAGACATATGTCATCCATTCAGCTGCCACGTTGTATCTCTGTTTCGCTTGCCGTTGAATCAATAAGGTAACTTTTCTTTTATGCGTAATGTTTCTTTTCGTTGACTTTATTACATGTGACTGCTGGTCATTTTCTGCTTATAGCAATGACTGATTTGTTGTTACAGACAGAGCAAGTATCCGAGGTTGAATTACATCCTCAGATGACTAGACCCCCGTCCCAGGCAGAAGAAAACAGCTCAGCAAAGAAGGTGAGAGCTGCACATGTTGTTCCATTGTTGAGTGATTTGCCCTCATCAACAAATGTAGTTGTTTTAAAGCAATTAAACTGAGGGTTAGGGTTACATTTTTACATGTTTACCTTCTCTAGAGGTTAAGACACTAGAGAGAACTGGGATCATGTGTGACACCAGCTCAGATAAATCATTAAGAAAGCTCTTAGTGCATGCATCAATGTATGTGCTTTAAGAAGGGCAGCTTGCCATTTGTTTCGAATCAATAGGGACTCATGGAGCCAGAGGGAAGACAGAAAGAGAGTTTGATTGTGCTTGACCCCTGTTTCACTGTAATTCTTCCAAATTGTGACACATTTCTTGCTTCGGGTTGTTAAAGATTCAGTTTTGATCCTATTTAAACACACCTGTTTGCTAGGGGTCAGAATCTGCTACTAAATGTGCATACAGCTTGAGAAAATTCTTCAAATGTTTGCTTAAGATGTAGAGTTTCTATCATGTTTGTGTATAAGCATAGAATTTGTATAAATTAATCACTAAAATTGCAAGGTCAGTCCTCACAGAACCTCTCTCACGGGTGGGATGATCTTTAGCAAGCATTTTCCTAGCTCTGTTCATGTTGTCCCTGCCTTTTCCCACAGATTTTTGTAGAGGGCAACTGGAGATTGCCCCCAGCCCCTATGGCAGCCAAGGAACATCTACAAAAGCTCAGGCAAGAAGTGTTGGCAGGTGCTCTATCTAGCATATACCCTGCCCTGGGAGCATCAGTACACTTCTTGTTCTAACAGGAGGGCACAGGCAAATGCCCCAGGCTAATTTTTCTGTGTATGGTAGGGCTTTGCAGGCTGCATCTCCCTCCAGGTGTGTTCACCACCACCACCTTCAAACTGAGCCTCATATATTCCTTGCTCCACTTTGAACCCCTCCTGGGAAAATTAAATTCTTGTGGTCACTCTGCTTCATAGTCACTGTCTTCCCAGCTCACTCCCTAAAATAAAGAGAAGACACAGTCTGTGAGGCCCAGGTTGCAGGTTGAGGGTGATGGGCTATTTTAATTTTAAAAAGTAAAAATTCTTCTTACTGTTAAAGACATGAAAATCCAACACTTTTTTTTTAACTATGAGTCAGACTATCTCTTCAATGTGAACTGTCAGAGAAAATACTGATCTTCTACACATTCAACATATTAATTTTCTGTGGATAATTTAACACACATGTGTTTTAATACTAGTTTCAGTGGTGCTTCATGTAAGAGAGTAGGGAAGAGAAAGAAGAGAATCTATGCCAGAGTGAGGCATTTTGGAAATATATTGGGGTGCAGGTGATTGATTATTGATTCTTACCAAATAGGAGCAATTAAAAATAAATCTTATTTTGGTTTAAATGCTTTTGAGCTAGCTAGGGACGAGCATATGCGTTTGTACATAGAGCAATACAGTCCAGCTTTGAGGGGTCCGTAATCCAGATGAAGACTGAAAAAAATAGTATAATTCATTAGGGCATTGCAGGAATTACTGTTTCTTTGAACAAAGTCAAAAAAAAAAGTCAAGAGACCTTTACCAAATTTGAATTTAGCTGTGTACTTCCTAAAATTATGAAATCTTAGGTTGGACATCAGCTATTTCTGTGTCTTCCCAGGCCTAGTGACTGGACACCTCCAGCCTGACTTAACCTTGCTCTGCTTGTCCCTTCCAGGAGGCTGTGCTCGCTCAGCCGCCCTCCAAACCTGTCCGCAGGAAGTTCCGCACGGAGACACAAGCGCTGGAGAACCCCGAGCTTTCCCCCACCATAAATGTGACTTCTTCCTTGCCAGCGGTTAAGCCTCACCTTCCAGTCCAAAAGTAAAAAACCATACGTAGCATGTCAACCTGTATCATGAGCTCTGGTGTAACTGGGGTTGCTTTGTGCAATTCTTGTGCATAGTACTTCTGGTTTTGCAAATTCATCATGAGATACAGGCATCTCAGATCTAGATATGTCCACCCAGATACACACCAAGTCTGTACTGACTGTAAGGTGATGATATTTCATTGGTGGCCTCTTCAAAAGGTACTGATTTCTCACACCTCTCTACCTAGTAAATATGTCTGACGACCAAGCCTTGTTGTTGAGCCAACATATCTAGCAAAGATCTCTTTTTTACCTTGCACCAGTCTTTTGGAATTTGCTCATTCATTTTCACATATTTAATCAGTTAAATGCACAGGAAATAGAGTCATGAAATGCTCCAGTTTGGTCATATCCTTGTGGTATTTCTCCATAGTGAGGAATGCTAGAAATGAGCTCTCCGTTGATGGGGAGTGCGCCATAAACCTCATGTGATAGCCCCACAATTGCCAAGTGTAGTATGTGTTATTTTACTGTTGTAACTGTTGAAGCTGTCACAAACAAAATTTGCTAGGTATTTCAGCATCTCTTTGTTTAATAGCCTTGTGGAAGGGGCTATACTGCTGAAACATAGTAAGTGAAGGCACTTGAAGGCCTATAAGGCCTGTGTGTGTCCTGCAACTGAAACAGTGTGCAAACACATTATGGCTTGCCTTCACTCAAAGCCTTTCAAAGATGTCTAGCTCAATCTGAAATAAAACCATACTGCTTAAATCAGTCAAACAATTCTTGGCAAACTCTATCAGTAGCCTCAATCTATGCGGCGTAATTGGAGATTAGACTAAATAATAGGACTCCTAGGATGCCCTTAAAGTGCTATTTTGTGCTTTGGGTTTGCTTATTCCGTAGTGGTTCAAAGAGAGATAACAGCATCTGTTAACTTCTCAACTTAATCCTGTCTTGTCTACATTTTTCCTAAAATGTTTAAATGATGTTGGGGATATAACTCTGTTTCTTTCTTCTTTTCTTTTTTCTTTCCCATCTATCATTATTACTCTGGAGCCTGTGGAGAGTGGTTTGAAGCAAAACAGTTAAGCAGAAAAATAACAGTTTGCTGGAAGATAATAACATAAAGACCAGCCTATTCTAAGAAATGGAGGTTCTGTTGCAAAGATCACCGCAATCAGCTCTGTTTAGAAAAAGAACTAACAGGGACTGTGTACCACTATCGAGTTATTTAAGTAAGGCATCTGTTTTAGACTGTGTTGTCATTAAAGACTTGTTGATGCCTCCTGTAAAACTTAAAAATAGTCTATTCGGAAGGAAGCTTGCTTATTCAGCCGGTGTTTTATATTTTCTTTCCTTCTTCCTATTGTTAACCCTTGTTTATTGGAGTAAGCTGGTCCTTATGTACTGAATTGTCTCTTTTTCTACCTGTTTGCTGAATCGTAATTTGCTCCAAGCCACTTATCATGAACTATAGAGTAATAATAACAGGAAAAAAATCTTTCTTTAAGCAGCGAAAGATGAGAGGGACGTCCATAATTCACCTACCTTTTTCTATTTATGACATCAGATGGTTTTGTGGAAATGACTGCTTTGAAAAAAGAAAGATTATTTTTTCAAGCGGTAGAAACAGCTGTGCCCTGAAAAATCTAAGACGATATTTTCATGCAGATGTCCTTATTTTCCAAATAAAATTATTTTTATATTTCTGTTAACCACTCATGAATCATTAAACTCTGCTGTTTGAAAAGAGCTAAAGCAAAGATTCTGCACTAAGTACTATGTAAGGATTATTCTTAGGATGAATCAGATTCTAGTGCTTTTAAAATAATTGAGATAGCCTAGAATGTTTTCGTCATTCAGCTTAACAAGTATAACCATTTTACTTTCAAGCAGTCCACCTCATTCAGCCATCTGATTTCACCGTTACATTTTTTGTTCCTTTGATTTGTAGTTTGTACCTTGTCCTTGAAGTATAGTCTAGTGTGTATAGAGATGGAGAATGTATGGTTTGGTCTTTTGGCATCAGCTGCTATTGAGGCTCCTAATTGAAATGTTTTGTATTTATCTGTCTGGCAGACAGTCTTCCAAGCAGAAAAGGGCTATTCAGACTGCCATACGAAAAAACAAAGAAGCCAATGCTGTGCTAGCCAGGTTGAACAGTGAGCTCCAGCAGCAGCTGAAGGTAAGGAATGCATTAAAAAAACACAATGGCAAAGCCAGGTTGCAATCAATTTTGTGTCACCTCTAGCAGAGAATCTTGTTAATTTTCCGGATTAAACCTACTGCATTGTTCCCTGTTCTCCAGAGAGAATAGCTAACATTACATATGGGTAGAATGAGACTTTCTGGAAAGGTCCTGTGTGTATATAGGCTACCATCACATTATCTCTTGCGAGTTAGAGTAATTTTATGCTTCTAAAAGTTTAGATAACGTGATCGTATCACCCAGGGCAAACTCGAGCTACTCGAGGAGAACTTTTATTGTTTTTCTGATCCCTTTTGCTACATGCACATGGGTTCCAGGAGTCTGGCATTCAGTATACAACAGTCTGGCTGAACCATGGTTTACTTGAACATCTAAGAACAATTCTTAATGTTGCCATCTGGCTTGTATTTTAAAGTGTTCTCAAGGAGCTGCTTTGTTATACATTTGAGCATTGTTTTATTTTGTTTTCTTTTTTTTTCCTGTAGTCCCAATGCAAAGGTAGTACACACCTTAACTTCTTGTCTCCTGCAGCTTTTTTTTCCCTTGAATGTTATGAACATACTGGTACGGAAAAAGAGGTGAACTCATGCTGCAGGGTTCTTTCTAGGGCTACTGACATCAGTCAGCAATCACACATTATTATTGGGGGTTAGCAACTAAATGTGTAGCAGTCCACAACACTTCCAGTTCTGAATGGCCTGAAAATGGGACACTGTGACCAGAACTGACATTCTCCTGTCCTACTTAAACATACAACAGTTTACATTGAGCTGGTCTCCCTTTAACTTTCTTCTGCATATCCCTCTCTGTCATGAGAAATTTCTATTCTGTATTACTCCTAGTTTTCTATCTCAGTCTGTATCTTTGATGTCCCCAATTAAACTTTTTTTTTTTCAGTCAAGATGAAAGTCTGATTCCATGCGCAACTTTGCTTTAATGTAATTTCTGAATTGATTTTTCAAGGCTGTCCCTAGAGTGATGCAGGTTAGATGCTCTGTACAGAAATCATAGCAAAATATAGAACAGTGATTGGAATAAGCATGGGGAGAAAGCTTTTGATGACAGCACATTACAGTATATTTTGCTCAGATTATCTACACTCCTGTCTTCTTCCATACACTACCTTGAGTTCACTTACATTCCCAAACCATCTTGAATTAGCCCAACGTTGTTAGCTGTATTTTACAGCAGGGCGAAGGAGGCACAGAAAGATTGAGAGATATGCACACAAGATATGTTCACACAAGAGCAGAAAACTGAAGTTGTCTTTCACATCATATTGCTGGAGATTTTCTGGTGGAATGGTGCCTTGCTGCTTTTAGGGAAAGCAGAAGGCTTCATGGCAACACCTCACCCTCAGTGAACTTGCCCTGAAACATGGACAACTTTCCAGTGGAGCCCTGCCTGCTCTTCTGAGCACACAGACCATGCCTGGGCATCCAGGATAGGGCTCTGAGCCTGCCCAGAAAAGGGTATTAGTGATATAAGGAGTCACTGTCAGCCCTAGTCCCCCTGTGGACCAGGGAGCCTTTTGACAGGAGGCCAAGGAAAGATGGGTGCTCCTCTGCACAGGAGCAGTCTAGAGGTTAGGAGAGAGGCTTTCTTGGGGTCACAGGTCCTGAAGGCCTTAGCAGTTTCCAGTAGAGACTGAGGTTCTTACTGCCACAATTGTTAATAGAAGTGGATTGGAAAGCCTATTTCATTTTAGCAAGGCTAAGTCTTGTAACTTCCAAACTGGAAGAGTTTCGTTCTATGAACAAAAATATTTGCAAAGCAGTTCTGAAGGAAATGTGCTTTCAAAAATAGCATGGTTTTCTTGGGGTAAAAATCCCTTCACTGCATCCCAAGCTATGCTGCTGTCCAGTCCAGTAGATTGCTACTCCACTCTGTTACCACATGAACAATTTAACCTCCGTATTGCACGAATATGGAAAAAAAGAGACAGCAGACAGTTATGAAGAGCAACTGTCTGGTATTTGTACCATGCTTTGAGACTACAAGGAGTGTTACATCCTTGTAACAAGGAGGAGTTTCATTCCTACTAGGAGTTTTTAGTAACTGCTGTTGGTTTAGCAGACAGCTCTTCACCGATGTGGGGAGATGCACGGGTCTCACAGAAGTCACTGTGCCTCTCTCTCTGTGCTCCAGGAAGTCCACAAGGAACGAATTGCCTTGGAAACACAGCTGGAGCAGCTACGTCCTGTAACAGTCTTATGACCTTCAGCGTGTTATTCAGTGGAAGTGAGAGAAGACTCGCACCAAGAGTCTTGAAACAAGACAAGCACAGCACAACTGGGTAAAGTTGTCGCCCAGGTGACAGCAGTAGGGAAAAATAGGTTATTGGGTCTCTTTTGTGCCCTACTTTGCATGTTGACCTTCGCAGACAAAGCAGGTACAGAAAATAAATATCAAGCTGTAGGATATTTCTGAGCAGGGGATTGTTTATCCTCTTCTCACCCTCTTCCCAGTCTAACATGTAAATGCAGTTTACCACTGTAATGAATAGCCTAAGAGAATTTTATTTATGTAAAGAATCCTGATTTATATGCATTCTTGAAGCACCTCTTGCCGCAATTATTGAGGTACGTAATTGCAAAATTCTTGTTTAAAACTCATTCTCTGAGATGACTTCCTGGATGTTACTTATTCCTATAGGAGTATATTAGGCAGAGTATCTATGAGTTTAAAATAAAACCAAGAATAAAACCTACTGGACATACAGAGTCTTTATCCACAATCATATGTCAGATAATTATTTTCTTAATACTGTATATTATTTAGTCACAAATGTATTTTAATGTTAGAGGAACTGTATTTTATAAGTAACAAATCATATGAAAGAGCAGTAAAACATGTAAAAAATGATTATTTTGGAAATTACAAAAAAAATCTGTTTTGAGAGGCTATAACTGCTATCACTAGTGTTTGATCACTTGCTTGCAACTGCTAGTGTCTTTATAAACTGTTAGCATGTTTGAGATCATTGGCTTATTGCCTTCTTGTTTGTTTTTAAATCAACAATGTAGTTCTACTAAGAGTTAAAAATGCATTCTGCTTAGCACTTTTGTAAAAACTATTCTATGTATGTTTGTATTAGTCTGCTTTCTTGTGTTAATAGCTGCTGAATTGTCTTAAGCATGTCTACATGAACTGTATTTCCAAAAGAAATGAGATTACACAAGTGCTATATATGAGGTTATAAAATGCTGTGATGGAAATTGCCTCCTACAGCAAGCTATCATTAAGGTTCCTCTTCACCTCACTGGAGGTGCTACTGATGGGATGAAGCTGCTAATGCCCATCTATTTTGTAAATGAAGAAGCAAAGCTTAATCTTATCCTGGGCCTGATGAAAAGCCAACAAAATTCCATAGGAATTTTTGCATGGATGCAGTGGTCATGAGATTTAGGTCTCAGTTCTAGCAGTGGAAGCCAGCCAGCTGATGTTGTTGAATTTCTTGGGCCAATACTCATGTCAGACAACGTCGTATGTACTGATGTCAGCCCTGCTGCCTTCATGGGTAGGATGCGTGCTTCTTTGCAAGGGAATGCCACTTGCCTGTTGGCGACCATAAGCATGACCCTAGGTGTGTTCCATATCCTGTTGTTCAGTGACCTGGCTTCAAACAGGCTTTCAAAGAAATGTGCATCACTTTTCTTCCATTCCCAAGATGATGCTTTCTCGCTGTAGCTACAGGACCTTGGGGCAGGGAGAAAGGAGAAACTGAAGAAGTTTTGCTCAGAAATAGATGAGGATGACATCAACATAAATACCTAAAAAGGTGACTAAACAGACTACTTTTGCTGAAAAGATGTGTGATACGGATCCAGAAATTCAAAGCTGGAAAAAAAAAAACAAGCTTTTGCACAATTGTTACTGAAAGTCTATTTTTGTAACTGCTTTTTGTAACATACTGCTTTTATTTCAGCTAAATACCACTGTGTCAACAATAATAGCCATTTCTTTGGATTTGGGACTTCTTGTGTGACTGTTCCATAGCTTGAGGAGGATGGTCATTCGTGGTCCGTGCAAAATACTCAAAATGAAATCTTTCCCTGTGAGCTGCAAAAGAACTGGTATCTTATTGCTATTAGTGGCAGTGTTCAGAAATTAACATCCTTTATTTTTTATGCTTGTAACACCGAATGATTACTGAGATTTTAAGAAAGTTAAATCCTCCTTGCCCACTTTTTAGCTCTCACACTGTCATTTGGTTAAAAATAGCTAGTTGATAGGAAATAATCATGTGGCACCTTTGTTTTTTCCTTTATCTATGGTTTTGGAGGAAAGTTTTTCAACAATTACAAAGAAATGTGTAAGTTGCATTTTGAAGGCCGTTGACATTAGGAACCTCCTCCATTTATTTCACCTGGATCAGTCACTGAAGAGATTCTTTTCAAAGGAAGAGTTGAAAAGTCCATTTCAGATAGCTTTTTTGTTGTTGTTGTCTAGCTTGTAAAGTACAATTATACTCCACTCACTGTAAATTAGGATACCTGGATAACCATCAGTGCAGTATTTACTCAGTTATTACCCTACCAAAGGAGTTAATAAATTTTAATTAGTTTATCTATCACTGAGGTTACATCTTTAGGAGTGCAATCTAATGCTCTACTCAGCTTCAAGGCCTGGAATATTAACTGATCTTGTATTCTGCTTGGTGTGGCATTGGCTATGATGATGATATACTGCTTTATATCAGATTTCAGTGTATATACAGGAAGCAAAATATTCAAGGAGAAATGGTAATATGTTACATATATGATGCATGAAATTATTTTCCTGTAGGTCTCAGTATTTCAGAAGTCATTGTATTCCAGATACAAAGTGACTCTTGTTTTAGGGGGCTTTTATCATTTTGAGAGGGTGTAATTAAATTAACAGACACTGCTTCTGGCAGCCAGCTGCTTCTATTAATATACCTTGGCTGATCCAAATTCATATCCAAGTGCAGTACCACCAAATTTCACAAGAAATACTTTTCTGTTGGAAAAACAGGGGCTTGTAAATGTATGCTTATATTTCTTTCTTTTGATCATGCATTTCTTGTTGGACTCCACCATGTTACATCACACCTAACACCTTTCTATGAAATATTTGTTTCAATACATGGTAATTCACAGATGAAAAAGGAAAATGTTCAACTAAGTGTTGTGATTTTTGCCTCCGTAGATCAAGCTATAATAATTGAGCCTTTAAATATAAATAATGACCTGGTATTAAGCAAGGTGAATAGTTTCCATTTCTGAAACATCGGTTTAAACAAACTGTCTGTTATCAGGAGCAACTCTTAATAGTTAGGAGGAGGATGTTGACCACTAAATTAATACTGGGGTGCAGTGGAAATAGTATCATCTCTTTCCAGAGAGCTTTCATGTGGCTGACATAGCAAAAATGTCAGTTGTTGGTGGATATAGCCCTGTTAACAGTATGTTGACAAATATCCTTTTAACTCAAAAGATTATCTCCAAACTATTTTTATGCTGTGCTGCTGGGAATTCTTTTGCAATATCAGGGAGAAGAACTTGTTCAACTGTCATCCAGATATTAAGAGTGTGATGCTATCAGGGCTACCCAGCACAAGAAGAGGATGGTTTGTGTTGTAAAACAACCCCGAAGGGATGACTGGCACTCAGAGCTCGTCACAGAAAGCTTTTAGGATTGACATAATATGGAAATTACCTTTCCCTGGTGCTGCTGCCTGTATGAGCTGCTTTTTCCCTAGCTGAGCTGCCAGCCTGGGAGAAAGGGTTGGTAAAAGTTCCTAGCCTGAGTATCAGAATGGTCAGTTTTCCACACTACCATCAACTCTTTAGCCTTCAGCACACACAGTCCTTCACAAGAAAATACATAGTGTTATGAAAGTCTGAAGGAAAAGAGGTCCTAGTGAAGTCACATATTTTTTGACTGAAGTGAAGAAAATTTTTTCAGGGAAATAAAACACAAATTATGTACTACCCATAAGAAAAAAAAATGTATGTTTAAGCTGTGTTTAGTTATCTTCATGATAATGTGCTATGAACATATGCATTATGTTTTACTCTGATATTGTTTTTTTTATATGAAAAGTGGTATTGCAAGCATTATCCTTCTTAATCTAAAAAAATACCTTGAGGCTACTAATATTTGAATTTTAACTTCTAAAGTAGATAGAGAGTTTTAAGCAATTTGTTTTCACAGCTGCAGAATGTCCATGTATGTGATATGAAACTGGGTGCTACATTAAAATAAAAGTATCCAGTAACTTCATACTGCCTTGCTTTTGTGCTTTATTTAGGATGCCGGTTGTACAGATCCAATAGAAGAACAGAAATTGTGACTTGTTACAGAAGAAATAAAGGGTAGCGAAGGCTGAAGTTCAACTGCAAAAGGTGAAATCACTTACACCGAGGTTGTGTACGCCACTTACACTGGGACTGTGCACATTCAAGCATAGGAACAGGCTGCCCAGCGTAGTAGTGGAGTCACCGTCCTTGGCAGTGTACAAGAAACGTGTAGATGAGACACTTTAGGGACAGGGTTTAGCAGACAGGGTGTGGAGGGGCTTATGGTTGGACTCAGTGATCTTGAAGGTCTTTTCCAACCATAATGATTCCAGGATTTTATGTATGTATGCAAGAGAGACTAAGAGAGAATTATTTAAAGTGACATCATGTCCTCTTGGATTTCGGTTGAGTTGAGACTTCATCTTTACTTCGTCAGGAATCAATCCTGACTTTCATGATTGCACCTTTTCCAGCGTTAAGGGGATAAACATGAAGAAATAGTTATTCTAGAGGGTAATCTGGGGTTGCCCAAACACGAGCAGTGAGAGAAGTCAAGTAAGTCCCCACCAGCACCCCCTCATAATCATGGCATTTTCTCTGCCAGCCTGCCAGCAGAATCTGTTGGATACTAAGGAGAGAGGGATGGTCTGTCACCTGTGAGAGTTAAAATTCAACTGGAAAAAGTAGAGTGTATCTGAAGATCTGTTCTTATGTGCAGGGAGCTGAAGGAAACAGTGTATTTCTTCTACTCTTCAACTACTGCAATTTTTTAAGAATTATGTCACAGCTATTCAAAGAGCAGGTCTTTAAAATAAGAAATAATTAGTGATAAATTAATTCTTACAACATTAATCCATGACAAGGGATGTTTTATTGGCCTAAAAGTATGTCTCTGGTGCACGTGAGGCACAAAGCCAAGGCGCTAAAAACTTGTAAATATACTGTAGGGAGCTATTCTGCATTGGCAGCAGGATAGATTTAGATGACTCTTCCATTCTTAATTTTTAAAATTATATGGTACTCTGGGGTGCCTTCATGCAATTCTAGATTGGCTCTCCATGTTTAAATGTCCATATTTCCAATAATCTGTGTTAAAGAATAAAAATTGCACCTTCCTGCTCTAGAAAAAATAGTTCTTAGTGGAAAGGGGACAGAAGAAAATAAAGAATAAAGAAGCTTCAAAATATCTTTTTGTCCTTCCATTGTCCTAAGATAGAGCTGATTTACAAGTTTAATATATAGCAGTTTCTGCTGGTAGAATTCTACTCGTTCCCTTTTATTTTTCTTGAAATATAGACTCTCAACTCCCCAGCATTTCCTCAGCACACTTTGTTTGGGACATGTCTGGAAGCAGTGAAAATAGCTGCATCCCAGCTGTTTTATCCCGGTAGTGCTCTATGATAAATGCCAGATCTGTATTCCTGGTGAAATCCTGAATTGGTTTACATTTATTGATTGCTAACTTAAATAGCACGAGCTAGGATGACTGTCTTATCTGAGGACATTTTGAGCATGCTTTGTGCATCAGAAATGTGATGGGACAGACAAGGTCAAGGCTGTGTATTGCATCTAGTTTGTTTTTTTTTGAAGGAAAAAAAGACTTTTTTTTTTTCATTTCTTGTCCTTGGTTTATATAAGGACCTCGTTCATGCTTGTGCTGGATATAGCAGCTGGCAGGTGCAAACACAATTTCACACTGCCACACGGGCCTCCACCAGGACATCCTCATCCTACGTAGAAGAGCAGTAGTGGAGTAGAGAGTGTTATCAGGCCCCAGGACAACAAATAACCTTCAGCATCTGGCAAGGAGAAAAACAGGAAAATAAAGCACTATATCAGCTCTCCAGTACTGACAGGACCAAGATGGAGAGAAAACGTGAAGTGGAAAAAGTTGATTTCATTGCCCTGTCCTGAGGCAGCAGGAAATCCACTGCGTCTCCACCGTCTTCTTCCACCTTCACACAAAGAAATAATGTGCCTTAAAAAGCTCTGCTCAGTACTTCTCTGTGAGGAGGTTTATAGGCAGGACTGCCACTTGATATACAAATTATTTTGTTCCAAGGTCACTTGAACAATTAAGTAGTTCATACCATCTGTCGACTACGTTTGTATCCCGTTAAGGCAGCGATACTTGCCTTCAGCAGGCTGACACAAAGCTTGCATTGTTTACTACAATTTCCATGGTCTTATCTAGGAGAGAAAGGCAAGCACAGGATCTCACCTGTGTCTTGCTTCAGAGATCTCTGCTTTTCCTAAAGGACACTAAATCCTCTATGAAAAATAATGGCTTCCTGTATTATCAATGAATTCTCACAGTAATTTCCCTTTGTGGTAATCACCTTGGGCCATCGAGGTGTCCCTTTTCAAAGGTGATTAGCGCCTGGGGGAAACCTTGCTGTGAGACACCATTCTGCACCAAAAGAAAAGCAGTGCCCTTTAGGGTATCTCAAATCAGGCACTAAAGAAAGTGAGGCTCACAAAATCATCAGCTTCACCTGAAGCTGTCAGCCAAAACGTTCCCTAGGATTAACAGAGCACTCCCTGCAAAAGGCTTCTTTCCAGTATTTAGTGCCATACTGGATGGCAAAAAACAGCTGCTACTTTGATTGCTTTCCCAATACCAAAATAATTGCCATTATAATTGGCCATCCCTGCTTTCGAATCCATGGCCTGGGAGGTTTAGTCTGGTCTTGCTCTCATGTACAAATTATTTGGTTCAGCTTACAGATCTCATCTCATTTGGAGGTGACTTTGGCTGAGGCGACAGGAGGTGATTAAACACCGAGCGGCTTCTTCATCAGGTATTGGATGGGCTGAGGTGATCCGAGCAGTTCATTGTGGACTTTCAACTGTGCAAGTCTGTATCAGAGCTGTCTGCAAAAGCCTGCACTGACCTCAAACTGGCTATGGAAACATGAGTTTGAGAGAAGTTACAGGAGAAGAAAAAAAAAAAAAGGCTAATGCAGAATATATAGAACTTTTGCTTCGGATTGGTCCCTCTGATCCAGTGTGTCACTCTGATATTGGCCAGTATCAAAAAGTAATGACAGAAACAGGAAGAACCATGAAGTTGGCAAAAATGGTACAATAAGCAAGTCTTTGCTTGGCAATGCATTGCCAATTATTGACCAGTAAATTGTTATTTCTTGTAGCATCTCTGAGGTTTAAAGCCTGAACCACTACAGCCTACATTTGCTTACTTTTGAACATAGTAGTTTCTCTCCTGCCTAAATTGAGAGAGGAATACATGTAATAGAACATCTGTAATACACACCCAGAAGAATAAATTCGATACAAATATATTTAAAGAAAGAAGTTTCTGCCTTACTTTCCATCTGCTATTGATTATTTGATATATACATACACATATATATTTACCATTTCCTGTGTTATGTTTATTCAGTAGAAACACAGGAATTTCTATCTGTTCTGTCAGTCTTTTCCCAGACATTTCTTTGTCTCCATCATTTTTGGTGCCTCTCTGGATCTTTTCTTTTTCCCTAAATTGTTTTTTCAAATAGCATAAACAGAACTTAAGCCAATTTGTGGTTGCCTCATTTCTGAGGAAGTGACTCTTTAAAATAAATCATGACACCAAGCAGTTTATCATTTTTTCCTAACTGGCAGTTCTGCAAGGATAAGTTGGAACCCTGGAAGTTTTTCCATCATCTATAGCAGAGGTTTGGTTAGCCCAGCTTCTGCCTTCTGTTTTTTGTTTGTTTGTTTGTTTCCCTTGGAAAGGAAGAGAGGTATCAAAGTCGATTGAGTATTTATAAATAACTCTACAATTCAATAAAAGGTGTGAATGAATTTCAGTCTCTTACTTTCTCTCCTCAATACTTCATTGGACCTGAGACATCTTTTTTTTTTTCTATCTCTTTTTCTTTTTTCTCTTAAGCTATCAGAAGCATGTGGGATCCACCCCGTCCAGTGGCAGGTACATATACATTTCTTGGAGAACTGCATGGAAAAGTTTCTGCTTAAACTGGAGAGGAAATGTCAAGCCATAGCTGGCTGAGAGCCGATACCTCACTGAAAAAATAGATCTAAAAAACTGTGTGTCTTCAGACAGATAAAGATTGTCTTCTGACCCTGTGTGCTTTGATTTCTGCTCCCTCAGATAGCGGCATCAATGTGTGCATCTCCTGAGAATGCAAATCCCAACCTCAGGAGTTTCTCAGCAGCTTATGGTAATGGTAAAGCTGAGTCGTGCTTGGGAAATTCTCAGAGAGAAGGATAATTTTGCAAGTGATTTTACATCCTGAAGCATCTCATTAGCAGTCCAATCTATCAGTCTTAAGAGGAAAAGGCAGGATGAAAGGCAGGAGAGAAATGAGATATCAAAATTTACACTAATAAAATCAATATCTCAAATTTTATTTCCCTTAAATAGGTATATTTGTTGCTCTTCTTTGAATTTTTCAAAGCCTTCTGAGAATTGCTCTCATTTTTGTGCTAAGAAAACACTACTCATTTTGCCTTGTGTAACAGCCTTTTATCATGCAGGAAAAAGTAATAATTCAGGCCTCAGACTTAGCTTTTGTATAAGAGAAATCAGGTTGATTATTTATTGACTACACAATAGCATACAGTATAATCCTCTGATCTGTTAGAAGGGTACAGATTATTTATGTTAATCCACAGCCTAGACGTGTGTGTCAGTAGATGTTATTTTTTGACAGTTTTGTTACATACCTTTTAATGCACTGGGAAGTGAGTGATGTTGAGGCAGGTGAATCTGTTTGCTGTGTGTACAAGTTTGCTGTAGGCAGGTGCTGAAGTTTTAAAGCAGGATTTCAGCAGCTCACAGTAACTATAGCACTCAGAAAGACTGCCCTATTTTAATTGTGCAGGTTGAGTGAAATGTAGAAGTAAAGAATACCCTGTAAATGGGGGGAATGCATATTAAAGCTTAAAAGTTAGTAGGAAAATTGACTTTTCTTTGAAGGCTTTAATTTTTCACTTTCATTGTGTCATGTCCGCCAAGGTGTTACAAGCCTCAATAATTTCAGTTTATGAATCAAGCTTCCAAAATTATAAGGTAGGTTAAAAACATTGAGATGTAGAAATGAAATGGGAAGTTCTTTTACTTTGGTTTTTATCATCTGCTGAATCTTTACTTTGTATTTAGGGCATATTATTACTGCTTGACCATAGATTTTTTTAAATTAAATCTTAGCTTACTTTTATGAAATCACTTGCTTCTGGAGATTTAAGCAAGTGGAGATTTAAGAAATACGGTCAATGCTTGGAGAGATGAAATAGGTAGGAGTAGAATTCAGATGCCGATACACATGAAACATCATTGCTGCCATCCCAGAGCATTGTATCTAAAGTTTATATACTAACACTATGAGAAAAACCACAAACAAATATTACCCTTTTCAGTCTCCAAAACAAATAAAAAGCTTCAGGGCATACCTCACTATTGTGCACAGTTTTTATTTATTCCACACTGATATATTTTAAGAATCAAAATCACTAATATTTTATTCAATATTCAGTAATAATCATGACCTCAAGAAACCCACAATCAAGGAGAAAAGGTGCAGGAGCTGTATTTTCCTATTGCTCCAAGGTTTACTTTCTCTGCTAAGATTGCCACAGTGCTGGGACTACCAGCACAAGGTCAATATTGTCCTGTTAGAAATGGGAACCTCACTGCCATATTTTCAACACTATCCAGCTTCATAAAAGGAATTAGAAGACACACCTTGCTATACTTCACTTATGAATTTTAACTTGCATTTTTTTTAGCTCATATCATATTTTTTTACCCATCATATTTATCAAACTGGGTGTTTCTACTGGGAAAATCTGTGAAGCTGAATTCTTGCTGCCATGTCTCAGTGAGGTTGGAGAGCCATGACCTTCCCTGTGAGTGCATTTTGGGAGCACATACCACACAACCCATATTTCTGGCAAAATCTGCCTGTTATTGCAATTCCTTCTCCCCTCACAGCCCAACAATGTTGGCCATTTCCATCAGCCTTCATTGAGGCAAACAAGCTTGACCTCAGCACATAACCCACTTTCTGGAGGGCTACCATTTCGGTGAGGCTGAATTATTTAATCAGCGGTGGCCTAATAACAGGCATGTGGCAGGTGCAATAGGGCTCAGTGAACTAATGAAGTATGGCCTGCCCTAGCTCAAGAGTCTGGGAGAGGAATCAGGAAGCTAATAC